GAGGAGGAGGAGGAGGAGGAGGAGGAGAAAGAAGAGAAAGGCGAAGAGGAGGCGGAAACAGAGAAGCGAACCAAAATGGAAGGCAGCAGAGGACACAGTCAAACTCGACGAAGACGACGACAACGACGAGGACTCACCTCGAAGCTGGTGCGACTGAGTTGGAAGACCCGATTCTGTTCCGGTCGTGACGCCCTGATGATGCGTCACTGTCGACCGTATCAGCGTAGACATAACATTAGTCATCGTCATCACGCTAACCAGCGACAGGCAGCGAACATGCGTGAACGCAGACGGATGCAGTCGATCAACCATGCCTTCGAAGGTATGCGAATTGTTAAAGTATTTAAAGTATCCTAGTGGATGCGCTCTTGTCCTTTTTCGGTAGAATCCAACTTTGGGTCCCAGATCAGCACACAAAGGCCCCATCCTTCTGTAATAACAGGAGCGGGTGTAATAAAAAGTATACGGTCTGGGTAATACAAAGGAAAGGAAAGACAAATAAAAAAGGTTGATAAAAGTAGAAAAAACTAAAATAGTCATTTAAATAATCTGATGTTTGTCAACTAAAAAGCAGGCTATGAGTAAAATGTGCAATTATACAAATATTAGGAAATAAGTGCATTTTAAAAACCAAGTAAAATTAAAATCAACTGACTAAATACGTAAACTAAAGTAAGCTAAACTCAGTAAACTAAAAAATTACCCAAAAATAAAAGAAAAAAGTGAATATAATAATGAACTGAAAACTACTGTGAAAACTGAACTAAAATAAATAAACCAAATAAGATAAACTAACTTAAAGTTGTTGCGCATGTAAATTGAAGGTGAGCGCGGCGCTTGGCATGTTATTTTATTGCAAAAGCATTAGATTATTTAAAAGTTTCTGCGACGCAAAGTAGGATGCTACATTTTTTTCTTGTATCCTTGCTACAAAATGTATCAGCACTCTTTAAGAGGAGAAGGTGTAGATCAATATAACTTCAACTTGAAATGGCGAAACTAAGAGCACTGGCTAACAGGGGAAAAAAGAATAGGTTGACGTGGCTCATCAAGCAGATGTTAGATTGTCCAGGATACATGCATAGATTAACCCCTTCAGTGCGAAATATACTTTTGCAATGTCTTAAGCGTCCATGCTTCTAAACGGCTGGTCTTTGAGTGGTGTAATTCTGTACACCAAAAATGGCTGGGAGTGGGCATTTGGCAGCCCACAGTTCATATTTCACCAATTTATCCGGCTCCGATTTTCCAGTTGTCCAGCGAGCTCACCATCTCTCGTTGCAGGTGTCGATGCCATATTTACGTAAAGGTTAAGTAAACTATCAACTACCTCTAAGACATCATCTGTCACTCCCAATCGGAGGAGGACACATAGTAGATTCCCTATTTCGATCAACATTCGTTAATGTGTTTTCTATTCGAACAAATTACTTAAATAGGATTGTTATATTGGTTATCATGCAACCCAATCTCAAGAGCTTCCTTCTGACTGTCTCCAAAAGATACGCTTTGTAAAAATAGCTACTTAAACAGCATGCATTTTTAAATTGATTTTTGATATCTTTATAAATTCAGCCATATTTCGTGGGAAACGTGCGAAAAATATTCCTTTTTGTTCTCATTTAGTAGAAAAGTACGCCTTTTCAAATGTTAAACTTGCAGAAAGGGTATATTTCGGTTTTCAAATAGTTAACAGTTATGAGATCTTTTAAAGACCGTGAAGTTTTCATTTATAATCTATCGTATCCGCGTTGTAATTATGAGATTGCCAAGGCCGTGAGATGTACCTTCATCTTAGATCGCTTCCGGTATTTTATTAATATTGCCAATAAAATATATAACATGATTCACGTCCATTGCAAAATGTTATGATAATTATGTGATCTCTTCCTCAAAGCCTACAGAAATGTGTGATTTTTCTTAGACTGGATGTATTTAGCATGTTGTTGGGAAACTTTGAACTCTAATGCAACGGTCGGAAGGGTTCAATATTACTCGGCAATTTAGAAAGTTTTGAAACCGAAAACCACCCTTCCTTCAGATGTAAAAATTGAAGAAGACATTATTTTCTGCTAAATAAGTGTAAAACGTAATATTTTGTGAATTTGTTTCCATAAAAGATACTCGAGTCTTCAAGGCCATTGAGAAAATGCATGCTATTTAAGTGGCAATTTTCTACAGAGAAAACTTTCTGACAGCATTGAGAAAGAAGTTCGTTCGGAAGCCGGCATCGTGGCGTGACTGGAATATCTTAGGATAAGGCTGCAAAAAAATCTTTATAAAAATCCAAACTCAGGTAGTTTTTTGGACCGAAAACACATTTGAAATTTTTGGTTGGCATCTCAGTGGGACAGGCAATCTACTGTACGTACTGGGAACGACCGTGCTGATTTAGGGGGTGTGCATAAGCCTTAGGAAGCACAACATAATGCGTACGACAGGGCTACAAGGGCTGGAGAACCGTATGATTTTCTTTTCAGACACTCCTCTTTATACCGAACTGTTTCGGGCTTATTCTACTCTTATTCAGTCAACCTTAACTCCGACCACCACATGTGACCAAACACATGAACATACGCTCGTACACGGCAAATGCACGATAGTATCACAACTTAGCCAGCTTCGGCCTCTTCGTGAGCTTTGCCATCCACACCAGACCAGCTGGCTTCGAGAAGCCAACGGGATCGGTGTTTGCCCACTCCTGATTATATACTCCCCTTTCCGGTCTCCCTTGTCGGTTCCACCTTATGTACTTGTCTATCCAGAGAGCATGACTTTATTATCAGCAAAGGCAGTAAGATTAATTAGAGGCATCCGGGACCCATTACGACCTGGATATTTAGCCGAATTAATAATCATCCCACGAGGGTTATACACTACCATAGATAAAATTGCACTGAGAAATAGCCATCACTATTTGGTATCCATTCGATTACTGGAGAAAGCTGGAAAAAATGAGTCCTAAATCTACTACCTATGTTGCCGTGGACGTGGAAGTTAACTTGGAATTCGAGGATGAAACACTATGTCTGCTCCCAGCATTTGACTTCACTTTCAGAGACTGAGGCCGCTCGTACGCGATCGCTATTAAGCATGCTAAACACGATGTCCTTCTTTGGTATCTCACTCCTCTAAATTCATGGTCAGAGCGTCTTCAGTTGACGAGGTAACATGGTCCAATGAACCGAGGATCAATTCGAAAGGATTCCGGGCAGAGGTGGGATGGGGTACAACCGTCTTACAGATTTTCTTACTTTAACTTCCAGGACGTTGGGGGTTTGATTGGAGGCACAGAAAACCTTTTACTAAAGGAGGTTGCATGTTCAACCTGGTCAATTGAAGTAAAACGAGCAGGATTTGGGTGAAATAGGAGGCTGCCGGATATCCAAGAAATTTCCTATACTTTTTAATAAGCCAGAACAAATGCTCTTGTTTTGTGCGTTTTAATATAAAAGATCAGTGATATAAGTAGGAGATGTTTAAAAACAATCCCCTCTGGAGCCGGAACATCTGATTAGGTGAAAGCGAGTATAGGGAATCGCATTGCTTTCCAGAAACAAGACCGACCGGAATCCCACTGAGGGGCTCATACACAACACTGGGTCGCGGGTTCGGACCTCGGGTGGTGCATCACTTGGAGTTGGGTATGAGTGGCTGATGACGGCTAATGAGCTAGAAATGGCCATTCCGGTCTCCTCTGTCTTTGCCACTAATGCTGTCTTCCTTCATGACTTGTAAGTCCCCCTAAGCAGGACACGGGGCTAGTGACACCCTGCCCCTTTAAAATATGGGGCCCTGAGAGTAGTTTCAGGAAGTATAAATAACTCCGTCTTAAACCTAGAGCTAACCCTGACATAAAACTAAACTGTAACCTTACCCTTAATCCTAGCCCTACAGTAAACCTAAATCTCCAACTTTAACCCTTTACACAGTCCTGAAGCCAACCCTAACTCTGACCTTGATCCCAACCTTAAACCTAATCCTAAAATTAAACTTCACTCCTAAACCTAATTTGCCCGGAGTTTGGCGCAAAGCCGCATGGCTGATATTTCCTTATCCTGTTTAGGCGATCATACAAGTCATCGTTATTGCCTTTTATTTGGGTACGACTGGCTGAGGACGTAAAATATGGCCATTGTCAACCTTCCTTTTGTGTGTAGAAAGCCTTCCGAAATTCGCTCCGTTTAAGTCATGATGTAGCTTTCATTCATCGTATTCTCCTACTAACGGAATGCGAACAAATCTGTTAATATTTTCGGTATAAAAGTAACAGAAAAGCTGGGATTGGGACAGTGATCTTAGTCTTATATAAACGCAGGCGCTTTCCTTACTGTCATTAGCTTCGGTCTCATTTGCAGGGACTCTGTGTGTGCGGAGTGTGTAAAGTTAACAAAAAGTTTTATTTCAGAAGGGAAACTGTATCAACTTCATCGCCCCGTACTTTCTCACTTAAAGCATAAATAGGGAAAATCAGAGCACTTTCTACTGTACCTACAT